CTGACTAGCTCTGTGGATTTTAGGGATTGAATTAGGCTAGACTGTTGCATGTTTAGAATAGATACATCTAAGGTAAAACATATCTATATTTAGTTTCCTGCTATATGGCTTTAGGATTAATCTTTAGTTTGTATGATATGACGGATCTAAAACGTGATATGTGTATTGCAGTGATCATTTATGCATTTTGGTGTTATTATTATAATTATTGAGAAATGACGTATTGTAACAATGGTGTTGTAAGCTGTGTTTGTGTTATCAGATGAACAGCGTGTTTAATGCTTTAGTTTTGATTTTCTGTTATAACGAAGTTGATTATAAGTTTGACTAGTTTGATTTTCTACGATTATTACTATTTAATGTGATTTGATCTTTATTATCTTGTTATTTTAATTGCTGTTAAATTATTGAATTTATTACCTTTTTTTTAGCATGTTCCCTGTATATGTGTTTCTGTTGCATAATCGATCTGTAGTGTTGTAAACATGTTTATAAGCTGTTGTGTGAGATTTGGTTGTGGTCAAGTTCAGTTTTTTGTTGTTGTTTGTTTTTCTGTTTTTGGTAATGTAGTTGTCTTAGTTTTAATGTTGTCATTGTGTACATGTTGCACTACCACTGTATTGTGACGTCACGTGCTGTGAGTGAATTTTGAAGTTGTGCCTGGATTCTTCATCTGACATTAAAGTTTCACATAAAACTCCCACTTTCGTGTTCTTAATTCATTTTTGTTTTAAATTAAGAGACTTAGTGTTGACTTCTAATCAAAGTATCCTACTTACAATGATCAGAGCTAAAGTCAACTTAGTTTGAGTATCAGATAGGCGATAGCACTGCCTATACAGGGATGGCGCGGATTGTTCATCGAACTGATATTTTAAATATCTCATCAACAGGTCATCAGAACTATACATTGCTATACAATCTTTCCTTTTATAACAAAATCTATGTAAGTATTCAGTCACAAGTTCTGGGCCATTGTTTTGGTTTTTGAGTTATCATGTAATAAAAAGAAGCAGAAGAAAGAAGAACAAGAAATTCAAACTTTTTGCTATGATGTTTAGACATTTTGTTAACCAATTTCACTGAGATGACATAGTTTCAAACGGAGTATCCGCTTTTATAAGTATTATTAATAACCAGTAGTAATTTTTTTAAATCATAATTCTAGTGTAAACGATGTTATCATTACCCCTTGAAGTTAACTTTTTTGTAGATATTTAGTGCTCTTTTAAAAAGCTTAAATACAAGGTGAAGGGAATTATTAACCAATAATAGATAAACAATAAATATCACAGTTGAAACCTCATTGTATTTATAACTTGGTTATAAATACAACCTTCCTGTGTTTATTGAACGACTGCATTAAAAAAACAAGCAAACAAGTAAAGAAAAAACTTTTTAAAAAATGAAGTAAATGTAGAGCAAAGGATGCAAATGCCATCCCTGCTATCTTGTTCACATTGTTTTTCAAGGATTGAGATTAGCCATCCCTATACGTACTTCCTTTTTTTAAAAGTTTCTTCTTTATATGTAGCTAATTAAAGTTATCTTATCACATTATTATTTCTAAATATTAGAATGTATTGTTTCATCTGTTGGGTACCCTCCCTGTTAGCGATGTTTTCGGCCGTAATCCCAATAACATCTCACAATGCTCAGCCATCTTAGGAGATACTCTCTAAGCTGGTAGGGCAAAATATTCTTTATAATAAAAACATAATAATATAAAATATAAAAATGAAAAATTTATATATATATATATCAAACATTCTAACCAACACTGTTCCTGAAATTATCATTAAAGGAAGTATAGAGACATACGTTAGACATAAACAATAAAAGCTGTCCTGAAGTAAAAGAGGGAAGAATTTTGGAGATCTTCCCTATACAACTTCACTTTTCTAAACTTCAACATTATGCTTTATCATAATTACTTCCCAGTTTAGTCGCGGAAACAGGAATTCTGTGATCAACATTTTCGAGGCTTTTTTTTAGAGCTGTAGCTTTATTGTAAGTCCAATTAAACATAGTGCCACTTCAGTATTTCCTGGGCAAACGACATAGGTGGTATTGACATTTTAGTCACTGACAAACTCCAGATTGCCACAGGGAGGTACAGAAATAGCACGCATAGATTCCACCCTCTGAGTTCTAGCAATAGGCCCTATAATTGGATTGCAGTACGCTACTGTTCTTCTAATACATGTTCTATCTAGTTGGATGAGATCTTTTTTGAATCTCTCGTGAAAGTATTCTTTAGCTGGTCTTGTGTCCATTTTTCAAGTTTGAAATATTGTACCAACTAACTAAGCATAGTCATCTTATCATCAGTAAAAATTCGTTATAACAAAGTCTAGTGAAACTTTTAACTAAACAGTTTTTATGGTACGGTGTTGTCTCTGTGCTACGCTAATCAGCAAATACAGTTAAGTTCAAAGGTGTATTGTAATTATCAAGTTCGTTCAGTGTAGTGTAGCTTCGTCTTATCACGTCATAATCTCCTAATCAACTACATTGAAACACAACATTTAAAGTGTGTATTTATATCCGTTTCCCTTTCAGTAAAGATACCTGTGTTGCACATTTTGTGTTTCATTTTTTTTTAATTTTGCCAACTCACCTTCATTATACTCACTCATCTTACTGTTCCTCTCCATGTTGCCTATGAGCTACCAGTCTAATACAGGTTACCACAGTAGGTGACAATAACCATGGAGACAAGTTACTGCAAAATCAATTTTTGGACCGCCTACAAATTAACACAAAATATGATACGGGTCACAGTATTTTTTTGAATACTAGTTACTAGAATAATATTGCTATTAAACATATAGAAAAAAATTACATTTAAATTATAAATTCCTTCAAAACGGTTATATTAAACTATATTATAAAAGAAACTTATCTTAAAATAGGAAACTATGTTTGAAATTTCTAAATACCACTTATATCAGCGATAAAACAATATAGCTGAGGTAAGATGCTTTATCTCTAATAATATGTATTTAAATTACAAAGTATAAATAAACTAGAACTTGTCACTGGCAGAAATCGTTAATTTCTTGGTTTTTATTTCAATTATTGGGAATTATATAATATTAGATTTTACTACAATATATTTGGTACTTTTGTGATGGCCACTAAAGCCTATGTAAACACTATTTTTGTAATACAAATGCATTCCATGATTTATGAATAAAGTTAAGATAAGAAGGGTCTGTAAATATATTACTAAATTTTAAAAGTGACATTAAGCGTCTACAACATTCTTTTTACAACATGGACTCTTTTTGTATTAGTAAATGAGTAGTTAAGGGCTCAAAAACATAGCACGTTTAATGGACAATATTCTATTGCTTGTCTTTTTTTTTTTGTACTTTAATTTTAAGCCGATTGCATAATTGATACAAACAACGCTTCATTTTTAGTAACGGGTTACCCCTTGCCTTTAGGGGACTGTCATGTAATAATTGAAAGATGTTACGAATTACAGATGATCAGTCGTTCTGCTGAAAGGTATCCGTTTTTTGTTTGTTCTTTTTGGTTTTTTTACGTTGTCAAATAAGTGCTGAAAAGCTTCAGGCGCTTAAATGGAGAATTAATTTTTTTCTCAAAGACTTTCTTAATCTCGAAGTAGCTTGTATGGAAATTGACAAGTAAAGTCACATATTGAAATTGGAAAATCCTGAAGTATGAGCCTACACTTGAAAGTTTATTGAATAGTAGAGGTTTGTTTGTTTTTGTTGTTTTTTCAATGTAAAACCAGTTTCGTTAGTTTCAAACTAACTTAATCACAAAAACGAACAAAACAGTGGATTTAACAAAATTTCGTGGTAGCATAATTCGCAAATTCCAGTAAAAAAAAAAAGTAGAATCGAACGATAACTGCATACTGCATATCAGCAGTCAACCTTGTTTTTATTTTGTATGCAAGTTCAAGGATTTCATGTTTTATAATTACTGGAGTAATGTTTTACAGTTAAGCTTCCTGTATTTTTACTATCCATAAAAATAAGTTGTAATGTTTAAAAAACAAAACAATAATGTGTTGTAGATATGATAAGTCTTGTAATGAACTAGTTATCGGTAGAGCGGATAATAAGAATTATTTTTATATATACAGTGGAAAAGCGTGTTTTTAATATATCTATATAAACATTTTGCTTTTGTTTGTTTGAAGTTAAGGCACAAAACTACACAATGGGCTATCTGTGCTCTGTCTACAACGGGTATCGAAACCCGGTTTCTAGCGTCGTAAGTCCGCAGATATACCGCTGTGCCGCTGGGAGGGGCAAACATTTTGCTAATTAAATCTTACGTAATGAGCGTTAACTTAATTTGTCGTTAGAATGTATAGATAAAATCCAACTTGTCTTAATAAGGTAAAATATTTTTAATAGGAAAAGTATTATCCACCAAATATAAAGTTTCAGATATACGTAGTAATATCGTTATAAACTTTAAACGTGAATAAAAATGGATATTTTATTTATATCTTGAATAATAATTTATAACTATAGATGATAAATATACGAGTAGAAATTTATTGTGGGTCATAATTGACGCTGGAAATCCTTTGATTACATTGATTGGAATATTCAACACCCTCGATTGAAAATTTCATATTGCCTTTACCAAAAAAAATTGATTATTTTATTTTCACAGTGGCAGGGTCACGGGAAATATAATTTCAAAGCGTAGTAGAGAAACAAGATGTGTGTGTGACAAATCAACATTATCATGATATCATCTCATTCGAGATAACTAAATTTCTTCATTATTCTAAAATTAGAAGATAATACGGCGGATAGTTCGAAACATATGTTTCCATTCATTGTATGTGTTTGTGTTCCTTAGATAAACAGAATGAGCGAATAGTGCACGCATCGTGATGCAAATGGATAAAAAGCACATAATCAGGAAGGTAAAAGTGTGAGCATTTTTATATTTTCGGATAATTTCCATAGTGCTCAATTGTTTCTGGTTTTTTTTAATTTCAGATTCTCTACTAAAAGAGTACTATGTTGGAAATCGACCTTACATCCACTGGAGCAACTCTGTTGTCACGGAAATAGTGAGAGAGCGGTTTCTCTCTAATCCTAGCGATGCCCGTATCTGCCATACTGACTTAGCCAGCGCCTTCTATTTGAGTTTCCTGGAAAAGGCAGAGGAAAAGGTAGACATGAATATCAGTTCTAGAAATAATTTCGGTACATGTCGTTATTTGATTTGCTGTAAAACACATCAGGAGTTCAATGTTTACAAATTACTTTGATCAACATTCACAGACGATCCTGAAACGTAGTACACTGATAACATAGAGTCTGTAATTAGCTTTCTTTTCAATACTTGTACTAACAGTATCTAAACCTTCTAATACGGCACGTGTGTAGACTTGAAGGTAAATTATGCCCTTTGTTTTCTGTTAATTAACAGATTAGTAACAAAGTTAGACTATAAAATACGCCTCGAAATGTCGCTCCGTTCTGTCATAGAAAGAAAATCTTCCCAATCGTAAAATTACAGAAATTAATCCAACTTATATTTTCATCACTGAAGAGTTACTATAACCTTTAAAAAAACGGGCAAAATAAATCTGCTACGAAATAAGAGAAGCCTAGTATATCTGAAAAGAACGGGACTGTTGGATCGAACACTAATCATTGGTTTAGGGTAGGCGTGTATAACTTGTATCTGTTAATCAGTTCTGTGTTGTTTTAAGTGTGTATATATACGTGGTTTCAGATAACATGCTTGGGTGATTTGAAATGCAAGTTTTCCTTTCCTGTTATCCATTATAAGTAAAAAGAAAACGTTGGACGCGAAACGTGTATTTTGAAACCATAAGATTGAAACTAAACTTGGAAGATAAAGCAATATATTTTTATATATTTCTGCTAATCACTTCCAGAAAATGCAAGGCGTGGTTATGTCTCTATTAATGTATTTCTTTTGCTCGAGTGCTTTTTCTGACAATAAAAACTAGTTTTTGTTTTCCTCTTTTGAAATTTTCTAAGCGCATTTTTTTCTTGCTGAAATAAATGTGTACCTTCCCTAAGTAAACACTTCAATATACATTCACTCTCTCTCTCTCTCTTTCATACTTTAAAGCTTTTATCACTAGCCTTGAAATGAACAAAAGTGATATTTTGAAAGTAACTATATACAATAGTAGATTACAGAGCGTTAAACGAATACGGTTGTTTTGTTTATATGTTTCTTTCAGAGTGATAGTAAAGGTGATAGTTCCTAGAATTATACTTGTATACTAAAATCAGTTATGGTAATGTAATCAAATTTTAAGAATATGTTAAACTACCGTGCTATAGTGTTATTTGAAATGTAAATTTCAGTCGTTCCCTATCAAAATAACATATATATATTACGTTTCAATCAAAAACTTTTTTATTTACAATTTTAATTCGTTCTGAAAAATGAATTATGCTTTGGTGTATTTCAAACCATTTATGTCGGTTTTAAATGGGGGCAAAATAGTTTTAGTGCGACCATTATAAAAGTGTTTAAAGATATAACCCTTGATTAAAATATAATTAATTTTCAAGGTAGAAGTTTCTCTTCAGTGACTTCTTTAAGTGTAAGTTTCCTCCAGATAAGGCAAACATTCCATTAAGTTAATTTTGTTAAAACCATTATGAATTAGATTACTTGTTTTTCAAACATTCATTATACGATTAATTCAAAGTTTGTCTCTTGGAAGACTCATTACTTCTTTTTATGTTTGTATTAAACGCTTCTATCTGTAATCATTTTAATTTTGTTCCTTTGTTTGTTGTTAAGCGCAAAGCTACACAACATTGTGCTGTGCCCACCACGAATACTAAAACACGAGTTTAAACGTTATAAGCCCTCAGACAAGCCGCTGAGCCACTGGGGAGACAATTATTTTTTATACTTTATGATTTGAAATAAAAGTACCAGTGCAAATTAAAAATTGTTTTATCGGTATTTTCTATTTGCCACTTGAGTCTTTCGTTACATATACTTAATTCGACGAAGAAAACTAACAGAATTTTGTAATAAGGGTGGCACCTACTAACGCTTCCTTTGACATAAACAACCCGAATTTTTTTAAGAATTTGAAATTGCATTACATTGTAATCATTAGTAAGTCTTGAACAAAGTCAGCTAAATGGAATTTTTAATGCCGTTTTATTAGCAAAGACAAACAAAAGAACATATATATACGAGCAAGTCTAAAAATAGTGGTCATTATCCTAGCTCCTGGTATTTCGCTTAGAAAAGAATCATTTCATAAGTAAAGTAATGGAATATTCCCCCATAGGCTTAGAGATAAGGCTCTGGACTATTGACACTAAGAATTGGGTTTCGATACTCATAGTGAGCACAGTGCAGACAGTCCATTGTATACCTTTGAGTTTAACAACAAACAAACAAGAAACGGAATATCGTATACACTATAGTATTCTAGCAAGGAATTGGTGAAGGAAAAAGTTGATATGTGTATGATTCTTCTTAGAAGTGAGACGTAAATACATATTTAATGCAAACCAGCACCGCATGGTTTAAGTTAGGATGAATACCGTTTCGAGTTCTATTGTTAATGTGCTTGCTATAAATATGTCCATTATCCTAAAATTCCAATTGTAACTTGCGTATATAGTAGTTTCGCGTGTGATTGTTTAACTCTAGAGCCAGACATTAGTGGCGCGGCTTTTGTCATCACAATATCTGGCAAACAATAAAAAGCACTAAAATTGCCTTTAAATTTGGTATTAGATCTTTCGAACAATACAGTTTTGTACTCGTTGGTTCACCTATAGTAGAGAAATCTTCGTTTGAAAATGGCTTTATCCCGTGTTTGTGTACGTATAGAATGGCCTGTTTTCAATCATGTTTACCCTCGAATCAGTTGCAAATGCAAGTTTGAAAGATGTGATATTTGCTGTTGAGAATGCTGTTGTTGTTGTTTTAACCAAAGCTGCACAATGGGTTTCCTGCACTCTCTCCACCTTGAAGAATCGAACCCCAGATGTTAGTGTTGTAAATCCGTAAGCTTGCCGTTAACGCACATGTGAACGTTTGGGTTGCTGTAAAAGTTCAAGCAATCAGAAAGAGAGGTCATCCAAAAACTTTAGCATTCAGTCAAATAAACAACAATTAATATTCTGCAACTATTTCTTATGACGTTCGTTGATTAAGGTCTGACCAATCATAGCTAAGTCTGTTAATTACTGAACGATCTAAGACAGTTAAAGTGGTTTATAATGATCAGAACAAAGTATCTGATTCTTACTATCCCTTCTGCCTCAATATCTTCCTCTACCTTACACTTAACGCAGATTGTCTTAGATGACACAAAATATGTCAAAAACCATTCTTGCAGTGCAAATCAAGATGGAAATGGAAATGCCTTGAGAGTAAAAATAGCCTTGCATTTGGAAGACTTTTCACCAACGCGGAAACAACACTTCTGGAGTTTCGTTACGTTTTTCGAGACAAGAAACCGAACCGTAAACTTATGGAAATTTTTATTTCAGAAATTGGTCTAACGGATTTTCTCGTTTCCACATGGCAGTTTCTGTACGATCGACTCACGGTTTCAGGGTATAGCTTGTTACGTTACAAAAAAACAAGCAAACAATTCTTACTCAACTTTCAATACTCACAGAAACGTAATCTATGTCTATGATGTGTTTGATAATTAGAACTGTGTTTTGATCTTCATCCTTCAGTCAGTCTAGTATAAATGTGTTTTTCTTCTTCAAAATAAGCTCAAGGAAACTAATCATTTGAATAATGTAATTATCTTCAGCCGAAAAACAACGAGAAAGCCCTTCAAATGCCCTTCATTAGTTTAAGAGTTATAATTAAAGAACTCTTAGTCTTAAAATTTTGTTAAATGTCTATTATTTTTGTTCGTTTGTTTGTCGTTGTTTTTTTACTTTATGTTCCTATTAATTGGAGAGTGAGCTATTCTTACAACAGTTTGAACCAAACTAATTGTTTAGGGCAGGGGCGTCTAGAACTTGATACAAAGAAAATAATAACAAACTATCATAGACTCCCTAAGTTGCCCCCCCCCCCCAATGGCACAGCGGTATGTCTGCGGACTTATAACGCTAGAAACCGAGTTTCGATATCCGTGGTGGGCAGAGCACAGATAACCCATTGTGTAGCTTTGTGCATAACTACAAACAAACTCCCTAAGTTAATACTAATTTTTCGTAATTACCTCAAACGATTCTTTCTATTAATTACCTTTTTACTTGTTTTAATAGGATATCGATTTAATTTTCTGTGCGTTTGCAGTAATATTATTACTGCACACACACACACACAATGGTTATCCCAAGTCAAAAATCAATAGGGTTTTTAGTTGAAAACGAAAGATCTATAAAAAGTATTGACTCGTATTTAAGAATCAAAAAGCACAATAAGTTATGGAAAACGCATGGGAAATAAAGAGAAGAACAAAGATGATCATTTCAATCTATGCAGTTCTTGAGAAATAAAGTCACCTAGCCCACACAAAGCTACCAATGGTCGGTACTGGTAATTTCAGCCCGAAAGGCAGCTGTCACTAATCTTGAAATACTTACCAGGAGAAAGTCAACTAGTCAACAACGCTAGTCAACAACACCGAGCACCACTGTTACCCTTATAACGTACTCACACTTGAAATTGCAGAGTATATTCTGCGGTACCGCGACGCAAACCTTGAACCTTCTAACCCGAAGTCCAGTGTGCTAGCCACTAGGTAACACCCAAACAACTAACAACGAACAGAATATAAGTTTAACGTTGAGTTTTCATTCTTTACATTTACTGAAGGTACCTTCATGTAATCAATATATTCAAACAACTTTGGAAAATGCACTTAGTCTTTAGAAAGTTACTTTTTTTTATTTCATTTTTTTTTCTGTTACGAGATTCAGGTAGCTCTGAAATGATTAAATTGCTTAAACTGATCTACGTTAAACTGATCTTAAACTGATCTAAGTGTCAAAAATGTTTGCATCAAAGCAATGATGCAAAACAAAATGTTCAAATGGCGCAATATGCCTCTTACAACTTGAATACTAATTAAACTAATAGCCAATTAAACTTATTTTATAAACTTCGTGCATTTCGAGTTTTTCAATTAAAGCATTTATAAATTAATATTAAATATGAAGTTCATTAAATTATGTACCAAAGAGTATTTTGTGTTTTTCTGGACCTTTTCTAACGTACTGCAGAGAAAGAGCAAGTCAAGAGAGATTTTATGTTCTTATTTCCACTGATAAAACCAATAACTTCGTTTAGCTAAAAGGAATTCAAAAATACATTAAACTATCGCGTGTATTTTTTTTTATTTTGCAAATGTTCGTAAATATGTAAAATTAAAGTCGAATAATTGAATTGTTTGTTACAATAATATGCGTTTGTATAGCATCATTAAGTTACGTCCCTACAATCATTAAAGTATTTTAATTGTTTTTGTCTATGATGTAGAACTATATATTATGTTTCCCTTTTCAAGGGCCTGGCATGGCCAGATGGATAGGGCGCTCGAATCGCCATCTGCGGGTAGCGGGTTCGAATCCGCGTCACACCAAACATGCTCGCCCTTTCAGCCATGGGGGCGTTATAATGGGACTGTCAATCCCATTATTCGTTGATAAAAGTTGGCGGTGGGGGTAATAACTAGTTGCTTTCCTTTAGTCTTACACTGCTAAATTAGGAACGGCTAGCGCAGATAGCCCTCGTGTAGCTTTGAGCTAAATTCAAAAAACAAACAACCCCTCTTCAAGTCTTTTTACTTTTTCTCTTCAAGTGCTTAGTTTTTTATTTCGGATGTTTTTATTATGTCTCTTGACTAAAGTTTTCAGCAAATAATTCAATATTCTTCTTTTTATAATTCCATATATACCAACATATTACAAACTAACGGAAGTTTTAACTTCAAAGTATTTCATGAAGTTTGATCTTTGTTGATACGTTTTGGGCTAGTAAAACAGTTCATGATTCGATTAACGTCAGGGTTGATCGGGTTTCTGAAAACAATGGTCGTTTAGGAGGATATATGGATGGGAACGATATACATGAATAAACTGTAAAGTGGGTTGTTAAATAAATGTGCAAATGGATGAGTATTTTAACAGATTAATGAAGCTAAAATAAATTACATATTTTGGTTGCGAATAACGCTATTTCGGCAGTTTACAAAGATGATATTTAAAAAACCTATCTAAGATTTTAATACATTTTTAATGATACTTTCTAATGACTCTTAACAATGTCTTCGATTATAATTCATGACTTAATGGCAAATGCTATTACTGCCTATGAACGATGTTGGCTTCCCTGCATTTTTTATTTCACACTATGCTTAAACATGATCATTTAACAGTGACTTCTGATTACTTCTTCTGCACTGTTAAGTTCGTAATCTTATCTTTTCCACGTTAAATTAACAGGGTTTATCTTCATATTAGATGATAAAATCTCAATGGAAATTTTCATCACCACTCAGAAAGACGATTTGAGTATAAAGCTCATAAGACTTTTAAACTCATAAATTAAAGATTCTTTCAATTAAATCATTTTGAAAGGCCTTTATATCTCATCAAAAATAAATATTTAATATGAGAAGAGCCAATAAGCCTACTTGATTTACTATTTCCCAGTGTACATAAACAAAGTTTTGTTTGTTTTGTTTTTAAGTGAAAAGTCTCGCACTGGGGAATTTGCGCTACCTAACCCTAAATATTAATATTCTTCGAGCCTAAAGCTCACTACTTAGCTACTGGTGGGGGATGAACAACATAATATTAACTATAATTCGTGTGAAAATAGTCTAAACGAAACTGAACCAACTAAAAGAGTAAGAATGAAAGTTTTGTTTAGTATCTTGAAGCTATAAAACGTAACGATTTTGTTCCATCATTCAGTTTTATCCACCTGACGATGCTTAGTAAACCTATCAAAACATAGTTTTCTTGTTTTTTAAAGAACTACCAAGGTTTTAGAACCATATTACTTGTTTATCCGTAAACAAACCTTTAATTTTCATATTCCAAGTTTTTCCTTTAATTTTTAAAGAGTTAGAAGTTTTAAGAACCTAAAAAGATGATTGCTTTGTAAGTTTATGACTTGTAATAGAATACAAATTGAAAATCTGTTACGCTTGTGAATATTATGTCGTTAAACACAAACGTTTTTCCGCTAATATTGAGAACTATAAAAAAACATATACTGATGAATTACATCTTTCCAATTTCATTCACTTACCTGTTACGGTATTTTATATCTGAAAAAAACCCATTATGCCTCTTTATATCTATGACAGTCACTTTTCTACCCTTATGGCAGCAGGTATACAATTTATGAGTACTGTACGCGGTTCAGTTTGAGTAAATTCTACTTTGAAATATGTCAATTAAAAATGTATTAATTTGTAAATTAATTATTGATCACGTGATTGATAATAAGTTCATATTTCATTTTCAAGGTCCCCAAGTTACTGGAAATAACAAAAGGAAAGAAAACTGACACGTCCTCAGATCTTTTGCGTGAGGTTGATGAACTTTGGTTTCATCTTCTATTAAGTAGTAAGTCGAAATTAGTTTTATTAATCCTTTTGTATTACATTATTTGAATAAAGTTATTTTTGAGTTAAATCAGCTTTATAATTACAACTAAAATATTTTATTCAACTTCACTATATGGCTATATGAAAATTTAACTCTCAATGACTAGATTCGTCATCATTAATAATAGTAAATGGAAAATATCTGAAAAGAAAACTTGAATTTATACTCTGGTGTATATAAATATGTTTTAAGTTGATCTCTTTCTTCTGATTTTCTTGTTTCAGAGGACTACAAAAAACTGAAACAGGATGCAATTTGCAACTTTGAGTTTCTGCTGTCTGCTGTTAGGGGCGCTTCAATTGGGTATTTGAGAAGTATCTTAGAGTTCGTAAGAAGTCAGGTAAAACCTTACAGATAATATTTGAATACACCATGCTTCAATAAATAATCCTTCAGTGGGATAAAGAAAAACTACAAGGCTGAAATAATCTCAATCGTAGATTATTGAATAACTGAACAAAGAGAATAACAAAGAACTGGTGAATTAGATTATAAAGATTTTCATATTATTATTTTGAATATTTAATAGTTTAGTTAAATGTTATAAACATTTTATTACACATTTATATAAAATTCAAACTAGTACGATAGGATTTTTTAAACGAGTGTGAATTTTCTTAATGCAGTTTTAAACTGTCAATCCCGAAAAAAATAATATATTTTAATTATCATTGGTTTTCATTCTTTAATTGCTAGTAATTAATGCAATTTTGTATTAAAAACTACCATTAAATATAAATAATATAAACTTTGAATACTTTTTATCTAAGCGAGTTATGTGTTTATTTCTTTGTTATGAATTTCGCGCAAAGACACGAGAGCTATCTGCGCTAGCGTCCCTAATTTAGCAGTGAAAGACTAGAGGGAAAGCAGCTGGTCATTACCACCAACCGTCTACTCTTGGACTACTCTTTTGCTAACGAATAGTGAAATGGATTATAATGCCCCCACGGCTAAAAGGGCGAGCAGGGACGGGGATTCGAACCCGAGACCCACCTGACCATGTCGGGCCTCGCGAGTTATGTGACGAATATACATAAATCACTTTTTCCTGTGCAGCATGATTAACTTGTTGTAAAAAATCAGGATTTCACTGATTTTTTGTGGTTTGTTTTACCAACAGCTAAGACATAAAACGTTTCTAAGTTTGTGGCCTCTGGGCAATGGCAAGACAGTTTGTAAATCATATACAACAATATATCGAAGTTCTATCTCCTCCACTTATAACACTATGCAAATACATAGAGCTGTGCCTTTGTCAATATCTGCAGTCTTGGACAAAGTGTTTGCATACTGTTCTATATTGATGTTACTGTCGACATGAATGGAGTAGTTACTAAGTAAATGCCCGAGTAGTAATAGAGAAGGTAGCGAATGGTCGGACATACATGTACGAGTGGTTATTCTGGTATGTATAAGTTGTTTTGACCATTTGTTCGTTAAAACACACATACATTTACTTTTCTTCTTTTTTTGTATAAAAGGGTGAACTTTTGGTATAATCTTTTTCGAAACACATCAACGCTTTTTTCAGACAATGTCTCTGGACATGGTGGAGGGTCAGGTATCGTCAAGTTCCAGAAGTTATAGAGCGTCAAACTGCTCGACTGTCCAGAAATGATATTAAGCAAATGCACTTTGTCAAAACATATGGTACCCCAGTGTACTGTATCCAGAATCCTAAAACATTATCGGACTACAGGAAAATTTGTTTCAGTAAAGTATACTGGTAGACGCCGAAGAACTACTGGCCAAGATGACCTTGTTTCGATCAGGTTAACACGTCAAGATCAAAAGAACTCTTGCAATATCTTACGACAGGAATGGCATAAAGACATTCCTTCCAGTTTATCCAAAAGAACGGTGAATAGGAGACAGAGCAAACAAGGTTGTTTTGCAAGAAGGGCTATCTGCAAACCAATATGAACCAGAATTCCCTGCCGTCACTGTGTTACTTGGGCAAGACAGCATGCCAATTTACAGTTAGAACACTGGCGATATGTCATCGTTTTAAATGAGTCCTGTTTTCGGTTTTTTAAAGCTAATGGTAGGATTTGTGTTCGTCGTTTGGCTGAGAATAGATGAGGAAAGACTGTTTTTCCCACAGGTTACACACAGGAGATGGTAAAGTACACGTTTGGGCAGCTATTCGTAATGGTGTAAAAACTACTCTTCATATCCTCCAGGACTAAACGTCAATGACACCTCTTATTGGCATCACACATAGACGATATTTCTGCCATATACTAGGGCAAGGTTGGCAATAACCTTGTATTCCAGGATGACAATCCCACTGTCCACAATGTGCGTATTGTACAGGATTATCTCGACCAGGAGAATGTTACAAGATTGCCATGGCCAGCAATGTCTCCACATTGTAATGTGTAATCCCATTGAGAATTGTTGAACAGAACTGAGCCAGAAAATTTCTAACCATGGCCCTAAATCAGCTACTGTAGCTGAGTTGCAGCGCCTTCTAGTAACAAGTTAGAATGAAATCACGGTAGACTACATCAATAACCTCATCGACAGCATGCCACATCACCTTGCGGAAGTTATTAGAGTACGAGGAGGACCAACCAAGTAGTGAATGATTAATATGAACTGATATAAGGCTAAAAATGCTATTTATGACAATTTGATGTTATATTTTGTCAATATATATGTTTTGATAAGGTTTCGTTGTGATAGGAAAAATGCTAAATTACACATCTTTATGTGGGTGTCTGATAAAAGTGTTTGCTGTTCTGATGTCTATAGAACATGTCTCATTATACAAATTATATATGTAGATTTTTAACATAACATACATTTCTCAGTTTGACAGCGTTAAGTTATATTTATTCCATCTTAATAATAATTATCCTACTTGTTGCAAAATATGAAAACATTTTGGCCAAGACAGTACAGTAGTAAGTTTGCCAACTCTAAATTATTTGCTTGCAAAGTAAAGAGTTCTCTTTGAATTCTTTCTCACACGAAAATCATCATTATTACTTTATTTCCCATTCCCTGAACATTTTTAATTCTCTGATTACAGGAACTCCTGTGTAGCCAAACGGTAATGCTTTCCAAGAACATTTGGTTGAACAAAATCGCATAGCATAGGTTAACACATTAAGTCAATCATAAATAATGTTCTCACGCCCTATTGGTTAAACTTTTAACACGTGGTTACTAAAACAATCAGAATCTATAGATATTAGAAAAGAACGAAATATATTTCAAGCCTATCACAAACAGCCAATTCACGTAACTATAATTTTTAATGCTTCTATATCACAAGATTTTGAGTATCACCTGTTACTGAAATCCGTAATTGGTTCAAAATAATAATAAGAGATAAAAAAGTAGAACTTGTGTTTTTGTTATCGTTGTTGTTTCTTAGCATGTATGTGTTGTAAAAATTGATAATAGTACAAACATTTGAATTTGAATTTTAGTTTCTTGACTGGGAGGTTGAACTCCTTTATAACATGACAAAGCCATCCGTAGATGTGTTGAGCCAAGACCCACAACAACTTGCTACTGAGATATTAAACTGGCTCAGACCTTACAAAGGTAATAACGTTAGTTTTTAGAAGTTATTTCTTCTGTTTTGTTTTTAGTTAAGCACAAAGATACACATTGGGCTATCTGTGCTCTTCCCACCATGGGTATCGAAACCCTGTTTCTAGATGTTTGTTTGTAATTTAGCACAAAGTTACACAATGGACTATCTGTGCTCTGCCTACAACGGGTATCGAAACCCAGTTTCTAGTGTTGTAAGTCAGCAGACATACCGCTGTGCCACTGGGGGGGGGGGTCTGTTTCTATATATAAAAGGCAATAACAATTAATAATGTCTTCTCTGTGCCACTGGGAGGTTTAGAAGTTATTTGTTTACGTTTGTTCTACCGTGCATTGCTGGCCTATAAGGAATTGTTTATACAGTTTTTAGGTTGAAAAGAAATTAGACTGTATGTTTTGTTTAACCTTGCAGCCCCCAGAGGCACAGCAGTATGTCTACCGACTTATGCTGCTAGAAATCGTGTTTCAATACCCGTGGTAGGCAGAGCACAGATAGCCCTTTGTGTAGATTTGTGCTTAACTACAAACAAACGAAATAAGAATATTCAATGTCGTGACTCAATAACAAACAACAAGAATATTTCACCTTGCAATAAGTATAAAATAGTTATAATTGAACTCATTCTTAAATTCAATTATTGGTATTGAGATTCGATGTAATATTTTCGCAAATCGTAATGTTTGTTCAACATTTCCTTATTAACACTCCATATAAAGAATTTTTAAAACTAAAATTGAATATGTTTAGCCTCTTTATATGGTGCAAGTCTTTTAGAGAAGTGAAAACGGATGCTCTAACCAACTCAGTTGTTGGACCTAATTGTAACATCCTTAATCTCCACTTTATAAGCTTATTATGGCATATATTGACAAGATCGTTCAAACAAGAAAAAGTAAAACTAATTTGCAGTTAATAGTTAATACCCTTTAAAGTATTTCGTTGTAGTTAGAAAGCTAATTTAATAACCTATTTCATACTGAAATCATTAAAATAAAAAGAACAAATTATAGTAACTATAATTTTCTTCGTATTGATATTGTTTTCAATGCTTAATACTTCTAATGATGAAATTTTTAACTTTCAGTAACACTTAATTTCTTGGATCGCATATATTCCTCACTACGAGATGTAGTGAGGCTTAAGTACCATCAGTGATGAAATAGTTTTATTCAACGTTTAGTTGTCCAATTGTTCTATCATCAGCCCAGTATTTTAAGGACTTTGCTTAAAATAAATTACAACTTTTTTGTTACGATTACATTCATTCCCCGTGAAGTGACAACTTGTTGTGTTAAAAAAGAGAATTCAAAAGAACGTACATTTTTTTATATTCAAAATAATGTTCTTCAAATTCGCACGCATAGTGAAACCACAAGTCCTAGCAAAATACATTTCATCTTTACTGCCCTTCATCGAAGAACATCAGGAATATTTCCGAAATCTGATCTTTTCAGAATTTTTTAGGATAAGTTAACCATTCTCTTTGAACTAGGTTGTTAAAATTAAATTAAAAGGACGGCAGCCTAAAACTACACGTATCAGAGTTTGAAGAAAAATGTGTACAAAATTAATGCTTCCCACAAGTATGATGAATCGTTTAAAGCCTATTTACTTCCTACAGTATCAATACTCCCAAGATAGTGGATACTAACATATGCGGACCTATATGTTATTCAGAGAATGTTTTTAGTACCAAATATTTATGAAATAATTGCAGAAGAATGTTAGATATCTATTAACAAATAATATAATTTATTTTGGCTCTTATGATGATAAATAAAGGAATTTGCATCATCTTATTTCATTATGGCGGATAGTACGACAGAATTGGCATGAAAAAGTTCAGTTCGTATTTATTGCCTTTGCAGTATGTAAATTCATTTAGGAAAACACTTTATCTTTACGTAATTTACCTACCATACTCGAACGAAATTACACCGTTGTCTTTTAATCATTTGCATTACGTTCAGTGAAACCGCTGTACTAATCAGATGCATAAACTACATGCTGCTCGTGCAGTTTTAGAAAGTTTAGAGCGACAGGAGAAGCCTATGTACCTTAAGGCAGACGCAACATCCCTCTGTCCTTTCCTCCTGAGCAACACTAACAATTCAAGCCACATATTGGTTGATCAACTAATGATGTGTTATAGGAAATCGATAGGAAAGCAAATCATTAATGCTACAGGCTCTAATCTGAGTTTGCTCCACAACAAATTTTGTTATGCTGTGGTGAAACAAGACTTAACTGCTAGTATCCGAGAAGCATGTCATCCACCATACCTCGCAACACGAAGTTGAAACTTATCACAAACTACACGTACAACAATCCCTATAAGTATTGATTTCATGTTCCATATAGGAGCCAATCCAAACCAAGTCATGTTTTTTGTTTGTTTGTTTTTTACCTTACACCTGCCCTGTTGAAATACAACTTTGGAGCATGTTACCATCCACGTGCCATATCCAATATGATTCTTTGCTGTTATTTATGACACACAATATTTTCAAGATTACCTACAGCCTTTAAAACACATTTCTGTTTCATTTTATTCTTTTGTGGTGATGTAAGCTATCTGAGGCACATAATGACATTTGACCTTCTCATTGAAGTTATTGAGATGCTACAATAATAAGGTTAATGTTAGTTAACAGAGCTGTTTTAATTTATGTATATATATATCATTTATTAGTTTTGTGAATAAAATGTGCATCTATTGTCTGTCGTAGCGTTCTAGTGGTCATAACTTAATACACATTCTGTATTAATATATCTATTTAATAGCACTTCATAAAAACTAAATGGTTATTTAAGTTTGTCTAAATCATGATGAAATTTCTTGTATGTACATAACAAATGAAATTTTCAAAATTCCTGAAAGAAACGTACATGCTCCAATAAAATATTTAATCTGATACAGACTGTAACGACTCACAAAGCTCTTTAGATCTAAAATTGTTCTAAATTTTCACACTTAACTCAGCTGTTGTTTAATATATATATATATAAGCATTGTTTCATCCGTCCATCTATTGCTTTTCTTAATAACTAAGTAAACTAATGATTATATTATTATATTATAATTTTAGTAATAATCATCTTTGTAACACAATTTTCAGATTTCGCTGAAGATGGAATAAGTTAATCAGAAACGTTCGAACCTTGTAAATAAAATGTTTTATGTTTTATCAACCGTCTTCATCTTCATTATGATACATAAAATCTTTGGTTAGGGCACTAAACATATACTTTATATGTTGAATTTAAATGTTGGTACTTTATAATATAATATTATTTCTCTTTCTTTCTAATAGATGGCACTTCTGAATTTTTAGACAGCCTTGTAAGTACTGCGCTGCGGTGGTGCAACAGTAATTCTTATCCTGCCCTTATTCCTCAGAACTCCTGGCTTAACTTAGTTTTGGCTCCTCAGGTAACAGTCATCACATGTCCTGGTCCAATCTCTCACATGGTTTCCACTCCAGATAGTCAGTACGTGCTATGCAGCACACAAGAAAAAATAATTCATATGTATAATCTACCTTCGAAAAACCTTATCAAAACCTTTTTAGGTTAGTAAAGAAACTATTTATTTGTTACTTTAAGTTTCTTACTAGCATTATCACAGAAAAACATGGTAGTTTATTTAGATGAGAATATTTGCCTGTAGAATCTACTAAAGTAGACATCAAGACCGATTTAGTTAATAGCATTTCTTCATTGCCGTATGGACTATATGGTGTCCAAAAAGTCTGGAACCTGGATAGGCACCTCAACGAATTTTACAGAATGTGTTCCATATGCTGTCCTTGTAAATCGAAACAAGTCTGGATTAACAGCAGGATTAAATTGACCTTCTCATGCTTTGACAGCGCAATAATCAATCGTGTATCTGAAATTAAGAAAATCACCTATGGTTTCAGGCTTTTCGTACACCTTGTATTTAAATAATAGTATTTACACGTGATGTATTTAACTAATAATATTTCTGTAGCTCATCTTGTCTATTTAGGTGATATCATTTGCACTTAGAGGATATCGTAATTTATTTGGATAATAATATTTATGCGTAGAGGACATCGTGATCTATTTAAGTAATAATGTTTTGTTCCAGATAGTAGTAATAAGTATGCTTCATTTTGATAGCAGTTGCTGGATGCGTACAGGACAGAGTAATCTGTTAAGATGTCCATGTTCCAACTAGTAGTAATAACTATATTCCATTTTAGCAGCAGTTGCTGGATGCATACAGGACAGAGTAATCTGTTAAGATGTCCATGTTCTAAAGAGTAGTGATAACTTTGTTCCATTTGGGTTGCAGTAGCTGGATGCGTACAGGACAGAGTAATCTGTTAAGATGTCCATGTTCCAAATAGTAGTAATAACTATATTCCATTTTAGCAGCAGTAGCTGGATGCGTACAGGACAGAGTAATCTGTTAAGATGTCCATGTTCCAAATAATAATAATAACTATATTCCATTTTGGTTGCGATAGTTGGATACGTAGAAGAACAGCTTAATTTTTTAAGATGTCTATATCCAAATAGTAATAATTATGTTCCATTTGGTTACAGTAGTTGGATATGTACAGGAACAGTACAACCTGTTAATATGTTCATGTTCCGAACAGTAATAATAACTATACATATACAGAATATCATTGTCATTTTACGTGTAAGTATACAAAGCAATATTTTCGTTTGTTTTGTGTATTTTAGGCGTAACTGGTTTCACTGTCAGTAAAAATTGTCGGTTCTTTCTTAGTCTTACAACTTACCCTGATTTATCATCAATAACCTAATGTTTAATTTGTGTTTGTTTGTTTTTATCCTTCGAATATTCCAAATACAAATTATATATATATATACTCTACTGGAATAGATATCGTCACAAATTACTTAACGAAACGGATATGAAATAACGTTACGGAATTCCCGTGATACCACAAGCTATTCTGTTATATGTCACATCCTATCCATCGTTCTTTTTCCTTTAAGAATTTCGTGAAAACTATACAAGGAATAGATGCGCAAAACAACTAACCAAACAGCACTCGCCGTCAATTCTTGGGCTACTCTAGTCATCAAATAGTGGTATTCGACTGTCACTCTTATAAAGCACCCAAGATCGCAAGGTGCAGAGCGCGTGTTTGCCTCGGATTCACAGTCTGAGCACGCTATCCGCTAGCCCACACCCAACTCACCATCTTTGTTTAATCGTTGGTTCCTGTACCGAAATCTACGAAGGATGTAGTTTTCGTTCCTTAACACAATAGTATCTCCATTTAAGGTTCTTATGATTTTCAAAATCGAACAGAATTTTGTTAGAACACACGGGATGTGATATTTGTTTTTGGACCCGAAATCTAAATGTTGATTTGTTTCAAGTTGAATTAAACAACCTAAGTGGTGAAAGTAAAGCATTGTTCAGTTTTGTTTTTTAATTATTTCAATCACTTCTTGTCAGCTAATGTTCTCCACAGTTTGCCGATATGTTTCTAATAAGAAATAATAATAAACTTGAAACGCACAACACACTGCTATGTCCGTACAATGGGGTTTGTTTGTTTCTTTCTTTCTTTCCTGAACTCTTTATTTTATTTCAAGAAAACCTTAGCAAAGTTCTCATTTAGTAATATAGAATAAACATGCAACAACTATTTTCGAATTATTGGAACATGTTCATAGGAGTAAGATGCGTTACAATTTCGGTGCTTTATAAATTGATTCCTGTCCTTAAAACTTATCATTTTCACTTTCGTCTGTGTCACTGCTAAGCAAAAACTTTATAGCACCAGCATAAATATGATTAGTGGTATAACAACGTTTCTTCTTTTGTACACGGAAATGTATGTGTACATATATATATCTTTAACATACCTTTTGATGTGTTATGTTTAATAATTAAAAATGCATCTTCTTGAAATTGTGATTATATTGTTTTCTATCTTAAAGGACATAAAGCGGCAATCACTTGTTTACATATGACTCCATCTGGACGCTATCTAGTGAGTGGATCAGAAGATACAGATGTAATAGTATGGGACGTAGAGAAAGGATCTGTGAAGCATCGACTAAGGTATACATTTAATCCATTATACCTAATATCGTAGTTACTGTCATTATTAACTTTGCCCTATTAATCTTACTGTTATCGAGTGAATGACTTCTGCTGTTATTGTGTTTATATCTTAGTTATCATTTATCACATTTTGTTTTGTTTGTGTTTGTACTTTAAAATAATTATTGTTGACACATATTTTGAGGTTCGTATCATAGTTTTACTAGTTATTGCTGTTGTTATCTTCTTTATAATTTAATTAACGTTGTTGTTGTACTATTTTTTTTGTTATTGTGTGTGTGTGTGTTTGCATTGTCGCTGCCTCACGAATATGTATTGTTCTTCCGATTAAAGTTACCCATCGTTAATGCTGTTTACTTTAAATCTTAATGTCTTTTATATAACATATTGTAACGTTTTTATCGCTTCTCCACTGTGTTCATGACAGTTTTTCTTCTTATATAAACATTTGCCATTGATATTGTTATGCTTACCTTGTTTCAATAGGTTTCTGCACTCTTAACACGACTTTACTCTTTATTGTACTTATTACGTGTTTAACAAATAAAAGTGTCCTAATTGTCTTGAGCCAAAGACTAAATAATTTTCTTCTTCCATTTATACTTAAATATGTTATGAGAAAAACAATTGTTTCAGCAGTAAAATAAATAATCGAGCCCTTAACATATTGTGCAAAAAAAAAAATGAAACAAAAGTAAATGTATAATGTCATGGAAATATTTCTGGAAATGCACAAGCGATATATTGAGTGAAGTCACGAACAACGAGTAATTACAACCAGATGGCCAATTTATTAATTCTATAAAATATCGTCTCAGAAAAGACAAAAGAAAATCGAATAAGTTATATAATGCTCTAGTAGTTTGTGAGTGAGCTTCTTTACTTTACACAGATCATTTCAGCTAGTTTTCGTGCTGCCATGCAGTTTATCAAGGTACGATTGTTTGGTCACCTTTTGACCTTTTCATATTGTGACATTTTGCAAAACAAGTTGTGGTAGCAAGTGTACCATTGGCTTTTTTACCTTGAATATATTATTACATCACATTTGCTGTATACTTAGGATCGTCATGTTTTTGAAGAGGAATATCTGTCTGACTAGTTTTTTTTCTGAGGGAATAGCATGATGGATTATAATCTACCTGTACATCTCAGCACTCAAGGTGCCATCAATTTTGCGTGGATCATTGACACCGTTGGCTGAGATGCAACCCGAGTGGCATTCCTTTAGAATTGGTCATTTGCAAAGTTTGTCCTCACCAGTCCTATAATTATTTCTGATGTTGTATGTATATGATCAATATATTTGTGTATTATTTCGCCCCTTTATTAGTTACTTAAGTAAATTTCATCAAAATATACTTAATAGTATAACAAAGGACACATTTGAAATTGTGAAATTATTAGTTAACAACTAGAATACCTTACAGAAGCAAATAAGAACTTCTTTTCAGGTTAGCCGTGAAAATTCATTCAGTTGTTCTTGTATCTCCTAGTACCTTTTTTCATAAAAAAAGTACATTTATTTACAGTTATCACATAGCTGGAGTTTTGTGCGTTGCAACAACAAACTCGGAAACATTAGTTTTGAGCGGCTCAGAAGTCGGAGTTGTGATTGTTGCTCGACTGGATTCAGGTCACGTCGTACAAAGATTGGAAAATCACCGAGGTGTGATTAACTGCGTAGCTGTGAACAGTGGCGACGACATTTTTGTAACAGGTGAAAGATCGTTTGATAAGTAAACTTTTGATTGTTTACAAAATACTACAGACTGTGGAAATCTGGGGAATTATTATAGAAAAAAAAACACTTAGCGTAAAAGTACAGATGATGATGGAATTTAGAATGAAGCTTTAACTAATTTAGGTAAGAATAACTAAAAAATGAGAATTATCAGACGAAAGCTGAAATCAAGGGTAGGAATATTAAGTATAAATAAGGAAAGTATGAGATACAGGGTTAAAATATAGAAACATTCAAAAATAAATAGACTATCAATTTTTTGGCTTGGAAAGGTGTTTGCAGTACAGTTTGCAGTGCTTTTCTTTATATTTAAGGTTCCTCGGACTGCACTGTATGTATCTGGTGTCTTGAAGACTTCAAGCTTCTCAATACCATCACCTTGACTGCTTCTGTCTGCTATATGGAACTTTCTCGAGATTCAACTTTCCTTCTACTGGGCTGTGAGGATAACACAGTGCACGTGCGATCCCTAACTACTGGTTCGGATGTCCACTGTCTACAAGGTCACTCTGGCACGGTAACCAGTCTGTGCTTTGCAAGAGATAACTGTCGCTGCATTGTAGGATGTCACAATGGCAAGAGTTACGTGTTCGATATTCTTTCTGCAAAATTACTTCAAACTCTGGGAGGACATTCGGATGCTGTTACTAGCTTACAGGTATATAAGACGATCTAAATAGTCGCAGTCTTTTTATATGAGTGTTTGTAATGCAATTTTTAAACTTCTTGGTTAACTGAAACCAATTGGTATTCGATTGGTTTGGTTTGTTTGGAAGTTCGCGCAAAGCTGCACGAGGACTATCCGTGCTAGCCGTCCGTAATTCAGCAGTGAAAGACTAGAGGGAAGGCAGCTAGTAATCATCACCCACGGTCAACGAATAGTAGGATTGACCGTAACTTTATAACGCCCCCACGACTGAAAGGTCGAGCATGTTTGATGGGACGGGGATTCGTACCCGCGACCCGCAGATTACGATTCGAGTGCCCTAACCATCTGGTCATGCCAGGCCCCCAGTATTTGAACTAATAAATCAGATAGGTTCCATGACTAACACGAATTACCAACACCAGTTTTCACTGAACTAACAAGTTTTGGTCTGTGATTGAAGGGGTTCTTAAGCTATGAGAAACTTTAGAACTCAAAATACTCTTTTGTTTTTGTTTTGTTGTTGTTTTTTTCGTTCAAAGCGCATATCATAGGTTTTCATTTTATTATTGTTCTTCAGTAAAATCCCATTTCGTATCAAATCTAAATCAGATAGGTTAGAGTCTAATTAATAATGTCTGTGTCTCTGTCCGTGAAGAACATTTTTCTACTTCCGTACCTCTGGTCACCTTTCAGAGATTTTTAAGTATTGCCCAGGTCTCCAGAATCCTAGACTTACAAGTTAGATAACCCATTAAAAATATGTTGCGTTAGTATGAATAAACTGACCAATACCAGGGAATTTCTAGAAAATTTTATGCCAGTTATTAGTAGATCTGCCATTCCCATAAATCCAACGAAATAAATGACGCTTAAAACAGGTGAGACAGTTCCTTATTACATGGACCTCCATCCAGATTAAAATCAACATAAGATCACACTGAATAAACGAAATAAATATATTAGTATCAACTCATCCAGCAACTCAACAACTGTAAGTACCACTAGCTAAGAGAAAATATAGAAATTTTAACTGTAATATTGTTTTTTCAAAAAGTTACTAGCAGGCCGGGCTTCGGATCGAAGGGTCCAATGCTCGATACATGATACCAACGAACACGCATGCTCTACACTTTCAGATGTGGGCACATTATAAAAGAAATAGCCAATTCATTTTAATAAACCGGACAAAGCCTTTCTGGTGGTGGGTGCGCCTGGTTGATTGCCTTTCTTTTGTCAATAGCTCAAAATTAGGGACGATTACACAAAAATTCTAGGACTGTCTAACCTCGCTGCTTAGCCCACGTGCGCATAACGTGTTGTTCACGTTGAAAATCTCAATTCTATCTCCTTTTATATTGAGCACTCCCTAATTGCCTAGATTACGCATTTATTGTAACTGCAACATTGAGCGTTATCTCGATGTTTTTAATATACGGCACCGTTAGTCTCCTCATTTTATAAAATGTTAGCATTTCTTATGTATCGCTGCGTCTAATGTTTTCAAAATTCCGAACATAAACTGTACCAAAGAATAAAGGTAATACGGTTCATCATACGCAGATATTTCACTAGTAACCATCAGGCAGATCTAGGTTAGCTTAACGATTGATGAAATTACAATTTGTTTTTACCTCTAGATTTAAGAGTTTTTATTGAACTCAAGTCAAACAGCTGCTCACCAAGCTGCTTTATGAGATATTTGAAAAAGTAGACAAGAGTAAACATAAACGAATAATAATGGTATGCATGATAGCTCTTCTTATCGGTTTTACCATCTTAAAAGTTTTACATGTTCTAAAGTTATTTCTCTACACTGGGCCCAGCATGGCCAGGTGGTTAGGGGGGCTCGACTCCCAATCCCCGTCACACCAAACATGCTCGCCCTTTCAGCCGTGGGGGCGTTATTATGTGACGGTTAATCCCGCTATTCGTTGGTAAAAGAGTAGCCCAAGAGTTGATAGTGAGTGGTGATGATTAGCTTCCTTCCCTCTACGTCTTACAC